GTCCTTGACTATCTGTCTCTCAGAAATCTGTTCCTCTCGTGCTGTGCCATCATCGTCTTCTGTATTATGCTCACTCAGAAATGTCTCTATTTTGAGACAGGCAGTTATCAGACTGGTCTCAAATAATAGGGACATTTTCTTTATGTCTAAAACTCTGTCCTGCACACTCTATCCTCACTTCAATAGCTGTCTTATCTGCTGTACTAAACTCTAGTACTCACTTCTTGGTCTCTCTTGCTGTTATCTGATCTGTGCTCGCACAATCTGGTAACTCTCATCATTTACCCACTAGTCGCTAAAATGTACCAACGTTAAGGGGCTGTGACACACTTCTGTGACGCTTCTCGTTGTAATCTGTCCACCGTATCTATACCCTGTTCACCACTTCGGTGCCTCACTACGTTGCCATGCGTAGTCGCACACTTCTTGTCCCTCACTCTTGGCTCCACTCGAGTGTATAAGTACCACTTCACTCGTGAGTATCCTCAGTCCACTCATGTTCCCATCACACATGTTGCAACGAACTCTGTTCCACACTCTGTCTCGCTCGCGTCTTTCCTGATCTCAAGTCTTTTATCTCTGTCTCTCACTACATCCCTGTCCGACACACAAACTGTCGCTAATACGTTAAACAAAAGAGAGAACATCTAGTCGCCGACAACTGCATTCACGTCTACTTGTCCTCTTATGGTCGCTGTCTCACACTGCTACTTCACCCTGTGCGAACTATCTTTGCGAACACTAGTCCTCTATCCTTCTTGGTGCGCACTACTTCTGTCTCCTAATCCCTTCTGTCTCTACGATATCATGCCTTCTAAATTGAGCTATGATCACTCTCTCTGTCCTCATTATGCACTGTGCGCTTCACTCTATCCTCTCGCTTCTGACGACGAACACTCACTCTGTCTCACACTCTAACAGTAGACTTCTTCGTAATTACTCTGTTCCACACTGACTGTCTCGTCAAACTCGAGTACACACTTTCTGTCATCATCTGCATACTCTGCGTCCACGAGCTCACTGTCCTTCACCTGTGCGCACAACAGTGCCTCCCGACACTCTGCTATTCTCTATACGCTATATATCTGTCTACTTCCATAGCGCGTTCTGTCTCACTCACTGTCCAGCGTGATCTAGTTTTGTGTCGGTTCTGGTTGATATTTAGTCTTACTGTTTTTACGTATTTTTTGTTTTTGTGTTGTTTTTTTTTTGTGTTTTTGTTTCTGTTGCGTCTCTCACTCTGTGCTCTACTCGCTCTTATCATCTCTGTCCATCACTCTGTTCCTCTCTCTGTCCACAACTGCCTGTCCACCTCTGTCCTCTCGTCGTCCTCCACTCTGTCCTCACTCTGTCCACTACTCTGTCCACACTCGTGTCCTCTCTCTGTCTCTCTCTTGTCCTCTCTCTGTCCTCACTCTTCCACACTCTGTCCTCTCTAACTTCATGGTCCTCATCCTGTCCACACTCTGTCCACGCACTCTACTGTCCGTCCACTCTGTTCTCTCGGCACCATCTGTCCTACTCTCCACTTCCTCTCTGCCTGCACTGTCCTACATACTTCTGCTCCAACACGCTCTGTGCGTATTCCGTGCTGTCCTCCTCCTTTGTCCATCACTCCTGTTCACACTCGAGTGGTCCCGTACACTCTAGTCCTCCTCTCTGTCCTCAGCCTCTGTCCGAGCACACTAACTGTCCTCTTGGCTCTCGTGCTCCTCACTCTGTCGCTCACCTATTAAGCTCTGATAATATGTGACATCGCAAAACACTATCCAGTCCATACAGCAATTTAACCTGTCCAACTCTGATGCACTAAGAGCCTCTGTCCTCACTCTGTCCCACTCTGTCCACACTCTGTCCTCCTTCTGTCCTGAGCTCTGTCCACACTAGTCCGCGAGTCCGACATCTCATGTAACTCGTTCTTCTCTCACTGGTCCTTCTCGTGTCGTCGTCCTCCTCTGCTGACTTGAGCGTCCTACGCTCTCTATGATCCACCGACGTTCTGTCCCTCCTACTTCTTGTCCACACTCTTCCACACTTCATGGTCCACACTCGTGCCACCCTCATCTCTGTCTCCTCCGTAACCCGCCCTCCACCGTCCTCACTCTGTCCACACTCTGTCCTCCACTCTGTCCATACTCTGTCCACACGTCCTGTCCTCTCTCTGTCCTCTCTCTGTCCTCTCTCCGTCCTCTATCTCCTGTCCTCACCTTGTCCCACACTCTGTCCTCTCTCTCTGTGCCTCTCTCTGTCCTCACTACATTCTGTCTCTCTCTTGTCCTCTCTCTGTCTCACTCTGTCCTCACTCTGTCCACAACTCTGTCCACACTCTGTCCTCTCTCTGTCCTCGTCTTGTCCTCACTCCTGTCCACACTCGTCCTCTCTCTGCCTCTCTCTGTCTCACTCTGTCCTCATCTCCTGTCCACACTAATCTGTTCCACACTCTGTCCACACTCTGTCTCCTCTCTCGCTTCCTCTCTCTGTCCTCACTGTCCTCTCTCCT